AATTGAATACTTCAAAATTTTAATTGTTTCATATTTTTTATAAAATCCTTCTATATATATATATATATATATATATATATATATATATATATATATATATATATATATATATATATATATATATATAGAGAGAGAGAGAGAGAGAGAGAGAGGGATGCACTCAGGTGCGAATAAGTGTCCAGAAAAGAATATGCGAACGAATCAACGCGCGACACGTGTCCAGATCTAATATATATATATATATATATATATATATATATATATATATATATATATATATATATATATATATATATATATATATATATATAGAGAGAGAGAGAGAGAGAGAGTGGGATGCACTCAGGTGCGAATAAGTGTCCAGAAAAGAATATGCGAACGAATCAACGCGCAACACGTGTCCAGATCTAATAGCTTAAAAAAACGCGGTGGCATTTTCGTAAATAATTGAACATCGAGTAAAATCACTTACAAGTGCACCTACTTTCACCTATAAGTGCATGTAATTTTGCCTTGTTAGCATTCACTTCCCGCAAACATTCATGCACCTGGGTGTGCTTATAACTATAGTTGCAACTATTTATAACTATAGGTGCAACTACTTATAACTATAGGTGCACCTACTTTCACCTATAAGTGCATGTAATTTTGCATTGTTAACATTCATTTATCTGAGTTCAGCGGGTAGTAATACCCTAAAAACCACCCGCAAACATTCATGCACTTAGGTGCAACTACTTATAACTATAGGTGCAACAACTTATAACTAGTGGTGCACTTACTATTGATGCTCAGTGTAAATTTTTACTTACACCTACAATACATTTTACATGCACTTGTAATACATTTTAGTTGCACTTCGATGTTCAATTATTTACGAAAATGCCACCACGCTTTTTAAAAAAATTAGTGTTTCTCATCCATTAGATCTGGACATGTGGACGAACAGAATCCATTCCTATTTCGCTCTTGGGCGAAGCATTCGCATGTGAGTGCGATTATATATATATATATATATATATATATATATATATATATATATATATATATATATATATATATATATATATATATATATATATATATATATATATATATCATAAGTTAGGCATGTATAGTATATAGTAATGTATACACTATACCCAATGTTGCAAAACACGTTAGGCGCTCTTTAGGCGTCAAGGGGGCACCTAGCGCCTAGGCGCCGATTTTTTTTTTAATTAAAAAAAATTAAAATTAAAAAGTTTCAAAATTAAGTAATAAAACATAAAGTTTCCATAGTTATTTCTTACAAACTACTTACGTAAGTGGTTGTAAAAGTGTTCAAAAGATTGTTTAAACCATCTAAATACATTTAAAAAAAAAAACTAAAATTAAGAGCAAAAGAAGCATTTTTTTGATAAATTAGTGGACCAATACATGATTTGAAAAAAAAAAAAAAATTGTCCAAAACGGACAACCGAGTCAAAAGTTATGTCTTCCCGAATTTTTTCCACTTTACAATGCAGAATATATATATATATATATATATATATATATATATATATATATATATATATATATATATATATATATATATATATATATGTATTAAAATTCAACGCCGGTTCAGCCAGCTAGGCGGTCTAGCCGGCCGGCAGCGGAGGAAGTCAATTCCGGTCTTCCTCGCGGCGGCAGCCGGGCGCCGATTATTCGGCGCTTAGGCGCGATTTTTGCAACCATGATTATACCAATAGTGTATTGGAAAATGACTTCCCCTAAAAAAAAAGTTATTTTCCTCCAAAACATACATATTTTCCTTTGATTAAGACATCATTTTCCATTGACCTCATTTTATCTTCACTCCTGCCAAACACTGAAAACTCAGAAAACATTTTTCGGAAGTCATTTTTCGGGTTTCCAAATGCACCCTAGGTGGAACGGGTTTTAAATATAAATGTGTTTGGATAAACGAGTCAACACAAGGTAAACATGTTCTTAATAGGTTAACCGATTTGACCCGTTAAAAAACAAACATAACGGGTCAGCCCGTCTCGGGACACGATAAGGAAACAATAACCCGTTATTTTCTTTGTGTGATGTTAACAGATTGTGTCTATAATTATCGGGTCTAATTGAGATTGTCCCTACAAACTTATTCAATTGAATAATGAAAAATTTGCTATTACCATTGCAACGTCACATCGTCGTTAACAAAAAATCAACTTAGGGTCTGTTTGGAAACCCGAAAAATGACTTCTGGAAATCATTTTCCGGATTTTTGGTGTTTGGGAAGGCTGAAAATAAAATGGTCAAAGGAAAATGCTAGTTAGTCAATGGAAAATGAGGGCTAAAATCCGGAAAATGACTTCACCTTTTTTTTTGCGGAAGTCATTTTCCATCTTCCAATCAACACACGCTCAAACCTTCTTCTCCCAAAAAATGACTTCCCCTTTTCGAATTTTTTTTTCAAATCGGAAACCAGTGCAGTCACTGGTTTCCCTGGTTTCCGATCGGAAACCAGTGACTCACTGGTTTTCGATCGGAAACCAATGAATTGGTTTTCCGCATTGGAAACCAGATCTGGTTTCCGATGCGAAAAACCAGTTCCGAAACCAGATGCAATTTTTTTTTTTTTGATTTTTTATGTCAAATCATGTTGCTGTTATTTTTTTTTTGTACTGATTAAATAATAAAATGCTTTTGCTTAATTTGTGAATTTTAATTTTCAAGACTTGATTATTTATGCATTTATGTTGTTTCTAACATGTAATTGTGATTTCAAATTGTAATATTCGGTATATAATAATTAAAATGTTTTAGTATGCCATTTTGTTCATTTTCTGGAAAATGAACCAAACACCAAAAGACAATTTTCTATCATTTTCTGGAAAATGAACCAAACACCAAAAGACAGTTTTCCATTGTGCAGCCAAACACATGAAAGGAAAATGACTTTTGGAAAATGACTCATTTTCTAGAAGTCATTTTCCAGAAGTCATTTTTCGGGTTTCCAAACAGACCCTTAGTCTTTTCATTGATGAAATGTTTGAATAAAGTAAAATTAACATTTAAATTTAACTAACAAGATTAAAAGAAATGTCAGAATAGAGACAAGGAGGCTACTAAGGTTTACTGATGGTGCTTTTTGTTAAACTTTAGTTAAAAAAACAGAAAGGCAAGCATAATAACAGTTAAAAAAATTCCCAAGGTAACTAAAGTAATGGAAGCTATTCCCCGAGGTTCCCACAATTTCACCTTCCAATAGTTTCTTCTTTTGCTGCAATGCACGTTTAACTCGCGGTAGATATAAGCATAGAGAGAGTTAAATTTGTCGATCGTGACACGCTGATTTATTTTTGTAAACAAATCAACCACTCATTTTGATTCGCCCACCTTATTATCAAGTATTCCATGGTAACAAAGCAATTCCACGTCTTCCTTGGACTCAATAAGGTTGCCTAAGAAGCCTACATAATTGGTCACAAAATTCCCCTTTGAAGCCTTGAATACTGCTAGTCGTTAAGACTAAACGATCCGGCATACTTCTCTCGAGCTCCCTTTGCCACCTCCCTCAACTCTTGTAGGAAGGTTTCACAATTTTTTTCTTTAATATTATTATCATCGCTGCACTCAATTCTTCCCCGCTTTGCTAATAGCTCTTCAGCTTCTTTTGCTTTTTCATCCAATAGTTGGTTGAGGTATCGCAATTTGTGCTTCTCCATCGTGCTTAAGCTTTCCTTTCCCCAGTGATAAGGACCAATTCAAATGATTTCTGGTTCGTACGCCGTCTTATTCACATTTCTTAGGACGTCAGGCACTTTGAAAATAAGGCGTCCATATTCAGGGTCTCCAAGAGCCCCAAGCTCTTCCAACAATGAAGCTTCAGATCATCAAAATTCAAATCAAAATCAATTAATAAAGAAATAATCTTTAAATAGGTGTTTTCAAAAATAAAAAAAGTTTAAATAAATCAGTGAACTATACCCGAATATGCAATTGTTCTATGGAATTAAAAAAAATAATAATAATAAAAACTACAATTAGGTCACGGAACTATTTAAATTATGCAATTAAATTAAAATTAACATGTTTTGATCAATTAAAATTATGCAAACAAATTTAACACTTAATAATTTGTTTTAAAATTAAATAATAATTTAATATTAACTTTCGGCAAAATCAATTGAATAATTTTAATGAGAAGAAATCTTAATATGATGAAGAAAGAAATTAAATAAGCCAAAACCAAATCGGGCCAAAAAAATATTTTTTTAAAGGAGGGTCTAGGCCTGGCAGATTTGGGCCAGACCTGGCCCAACTATGTAACCCTTCATCATCTTTATTCTCTCAACAAAACCAGGCAGCGAACCAGCATCGACGGCAACTTTACGGGAACGGCAGAAGCTAGGTCGCCGGAATCGCCTGAAGGAGGGAAACTCAGCAGCGTCGTCGCCGGGGAAGCCAGCTCCGCCACCGCCGCTGACCTCGACGCAATGCCAACGCCGCCGCCATCTGCCCGCAACCGCGATGCAACCGGCCTCCGAACGGCCTTTTGCACGTTGTTCCGTCGCCGCCGGCAATTGTCGGTCAACCAACGTGAAGGAAACGGATCCGGCGAGCGTAGCAGCATAGTAAAAAAAAATCCAATCGTTTTTCTTTTTCTTTTTTTAATATACAATACAATAAAAAAAAAAAAAAAAAAGCTAGGCCGAAATAAATCAAGCTCTTGATATCATAGAATACTAACCTTCAACCATAGCTTTTGATAAATGGTGTATGAGAAATAATTGTTAAGCAGAAGACTAGGGCTCTTTATATAATAATTATATCTGATCAATATGGTAACTGAATCATTTCCTAATCATACTCCTTACCTTTATAATCAAGAATTACCTTATAATCAAGTAGTACCCACTACCCAGTCACAAAAAATATGGATTCGCCATTGTTCATAGTATTTGTACAATTACATGTTCATATTTCAAACTGGTTATATTTGTATCTATGATAGAAAAAAAAAAAAAAAAAAAATTATTGGGGAAAAGAACATGAATTCATTTCTGTTCATCACAATAGAGTATGTGGACTTACAACATATGCAATACAAATAACATGAAACCATATATATTATCTCAGAATACTTGAGGAGAAGAGGCCCCTTATTTTCCTTTTTTTCTTTGAATCTCTTTCTCCATTATCTTCATGCAAAACAACACAGGAAGAATATACTTAAACCAGACTAACCATATACAATAACCCAGACTCGATCTCGAGAAATATGTAGTATACACGCCTCGTGTGCTCCACTCTATTCGTCAATTTGACGCTTTGTCACTTTCTAAGCCATGGAAAGCATGAACAGCCCTGGGAGATCAGATAATTGAGAAGAAAAAAAAAATGAAAACATTGGACCACATTGGAACAAATTTAATTAGGAAATTTTCGTTTCAAAATCCGGCTCTAGCTAAAGACTAAAGTTCTAAAAACATTTTTTGACGAGATGAGAGATGGCAGCATACCTTTGCATTCTCTTTTCTGTATTGCCTCTCACTGTTTGAGTATGATGCATCGCCTGGCAATGCGGGTACTTTTCCAGCGCCACTCAGCTTATCATCCCGCACTCTGTCAAATACTTGAGTGAATTGTTCAGCTGATGCGGGATCATTATCGTCCCAGTCTCCAAATTTGGGAACAACGGGACTGTTATCGGGCTGCAGTGAAAGTAATGCCTCTACCAATGTCAGCTAGATTAGACAGAAGACTAAAACATGCTATATAGACAATTCAATCTATAACTTCTTAAACTTTTATAAAAATTTAAAAAGCAAATGGCTAAATCTTTGACAATCATAAAAGTGATGCCATTTAAGCAGTTGCTTATGATTTTCTTTTTTCCTTTTAAGACACAAACTACAAATTAAATAAGAATTTTAGAAGATGAAAGAAGGGGAAGAAGCATTACTGTGTCATCAACTTTTGCAACTGGTCTAAGCCGGGATCTTGCAGGTGTTGAGGGAGCTATTCCCCGGCCACCTTCAGATGAACCTTTTCTTTCCCACGAGGGAGAAGAAACCCCGCTCCCTTTACCTCCAAGCCTTGCGTGGGAATGAGGGTGCAGTGGTGAAACTTCAAGGCTGCGATCACTTTGACGAGAAGCTCTCCTTGGGGTCTCACCAGCATTGCGGTGAAGAGGTGACTCAAGAGGAGATTTTCTTCCAGCACTCTCATGTTGCAAGGGGGAATCAGTAGTTCTACGTAAATCGCCTTCTTCTTGACTCAGCTGCCGCTCATGTTTTGGTTTCGAAGGTTCTGCAGGACCCTTTGGCGTTTCCATATCTGTTTTTCTGCTTTCGGGTCTTGCACTACCACTATGTTGATTTTGAGGAGAGTCGGTTAATGTCCTTACGCCATCTAAGACTTTGGATCCAGCCTCGGGATCTTCTTGAGGATTCATGTAATCACCTTTCTTAATCTTCTCAGTATTTTCAGAATTGGCATCATAGGGGACAACTCCTTCACCTTCCAAGTTGCCAGAAGTCGGTAATTGCAAGTGCTGCTGTACAAATTTGAACCATATATAATGTAAGCTAATTACAATGCATATTCTAAAAATCATGATTTCAAGATGCAAAAAAATTGAAACCAGGCACATTTCAGTAACTTGATAGCAAAAGAAGGGGCCGTCTTAGGTCATACCCTAACAATGACTCGTAATTTGAAGAGCTAAATAGGTCTACACAATCAGCTACAAGTCTATTCATAAGCCTGTGACTAAGAGAGCCAATGTCCCTGCGCCAAACCACACTAAAAGATTGGATCCAATCAATTAGCTAGTCTAACTCATTGCCTTATAAACTCATATGTTTCTCTCTTATTTTTCAAGGTGGGACTCTTACAACTAACAACCTCTAGACAACGAGCTCCTTGTAATCTTCAGTATCAAGTATCAACTAGTGCATTTCAGAAAACACCAAAAACATTATTCCAGATATTAGCTGCTATTTCAGAGGGTGAATAATGAGAAAATATGGTCAACTGTTTCTTCACGTATAGAACCTGTTCACCAGCACATGTTCCCTTCTCTGCCAGAGTGTCAATTGCCTCTGGAAGAATATTAGAACTGAGTCAAGAGCGCCAAGGACCCTTGGCGCCAAGTTGTTCTCCTATATGGGAGGTTGTAGGTTCGAGCCTCAGTGGAGGCGGTATTGACTCTTTGTGCTTCAGTAGGTTGAGAAAGTAGTTATGAACAGATACTACATTGTAACAGAGTCAATGGAACTCAAAAGGACTGAGTCAAGAGCAGCTATGCAACTAAAGGTCTTCCAGTTGCCTTCCAAGGAAATTTGGGGTATTGTTCACCTTCAGGATCCTATAGTAAGAGCCCTTAGATCTCTCAGCCATTGTAATTCATCCAATTTTGCATTCACCTTCACTTCTTTGGGAATTTGGTCATCAAAGTTGCTTCAAAACATTATTTGAATGCATAACTTTGCACATCCATAGACTTGGGATATGTATCAAATCCTAAAAGGTTATGAAAAATATCTTCAAAAGGAGAATGGCCAATCAAGCAATCAGACCAGAAATGAGATCTCTTCCCACTACCCACCTTGAAGTTACCTTGTTCTAGTGTGTTCTGAGATGATCCTCCTTTATGTTATCATAAAAAATTTGGTGTGATATTTTGTTTGCTTTTTACTATTGTCAATCTCTATCCGAAAAGGCAAGAATGTATACTACCTAGCTGAGCAATGATTACATGGAATTATAAATGACAAGAATTTCATGATGGATGGGCGTAGCTACTGATGTCTAGTATACAGGCATACACAAATACAAATATATATTCAATTCCGGTCCATTTTACAATAAAATTTTAGACTAAAGCATTAAGACCGATGCCTACATCTTATCTCCCTTCTCTGTATGGTTGCAGAGTTTCCTTGTATCTTGGGTTGAATGCATTCCCCTCCCAAAGGTTTCCTCAACACCATAATCAACCCCCACCAGAAGAGAAAATAGGTAAGAAAGAAATTTGTTTCTTCATTTCATACACTTCGTTCAGAGTTCCAGAAAATAAGCCAAAAACATTTTTATCACAATAACCATATCTTAAATCAGAATTTTGGGTCACAGATCTTGAGTTTACCCCATTGAAACTCCAAACCTTATGATACGGATTAATTGACTTTACATAAATAATTCGGGAATACCAATAATTCTTAGCCCTAAAATCATTAACTTATACGTACAAAGAACTCCAAATCACAACTTAAAGAATAGACAAAATCTGTTAGAAATGTGGTTAAAATCTGTAGGTTCTTGAATATGAGAATTGAAATCAATCATATGCTCCTCATAGTTCTCTCGCTCAAAGCCAACATAGGAACATAACCATGTCAATGTCATATGAAAGCTCTAGCACCGCATAATCTAAGATTACTATAGGAACATATTAAATATCCGAAATTAAAGGCATATTATACCAAGAGATTCTAATCATCCAATTTAATACTTCATTCGTCTATAGTTACCGAGAACATGATCAATTGATAAAACAAAATGTTCAGCTTTTGAAGTTTGAGGTAGTTCAAAATCATAAGCCATAAACACTCTATGCTAGCATACAACTTATGAGCCTAAGCCGCAATTAGTTTCCTATAACAGTATATATAAACATTTCAATTCCAACTTCAAATGCTCAACTACAATCCATCCAGATCCAAATGGACTATGTTGGAGAGTTGAGTCTAGTATCCTGTCATCGAAACATGGCACTGACTGATAAAATTATGTCTTAGCTATTTTGCATAGGGAACAACCCCTCCCCTACCCCCAAAGATCACAATTCCCAAGGTTCATCTTTTTCCAAATCTTACACTACCGAAGAATCAAGTCAAGCTCAATTTCGCTATAGATCAATCAGGGAAAAAGAAATCCGGTGTAAAACCCAGTTGCAGCAAAAAGAAACTCAGAAATATCAATAACGGTGCGCCAAAAGACTCACTATAGATAGTAGGAATGAAGTAAATATATCAAACGGAATACTCACTGCCATTTTTGAACTGTTCTTAAGCTCTTGAAGCAGCAACAGAGAGAGAGAGAAGAGAGAGCTAAGACTGCTATTGGGTCAAGATTTTCCTGGCAAGTGAGTCACTGGTCAGTGGTGCCAACAAACACCCAACTCAGAGAGAGAGAGAGAGAGAGAGAGAGAGAGAGATGGGTTACCGGTAAACTGAAGACATCTGTGACTTTTTGGTAATGACAGGAGAGGAGAAAGCACTTTGGTGAGATGGGGGATATTATTGGGTTGCACATGTCCGCTGGACTAATTCAAGTGATAGACCACCATATATCAAGTCAGCACCTTAAGTGCTGCTCGTTCTGAGAGGCACAGAAGCTGTCTAGAAGAAATCGTCACTTATAAAAATTGAATATGAATTTCTCGAGATTCCACTCCATACAAATAGTTCATTAGCTACCCCGTTGGCGTTGGGTTTGATACCGTGAAGATTTGATTCCTAATTTTTCACTAATAATATTTTAGATTTAAGACTTTTCAGGTTAGAATCTCGGTCTTTGAACTTTTTCAAGTTGACAGAAGTGTGGAGATTGATTTCTTGTTTGTAAGTAAACAAAAGATTCTTGAACAAAAATTTTGAGAGCTCAAGATTACTCTGGAATAAGTTGAAGTATGGATATAGATTCTTTGGGTATAGAGTAAACAAAAAAATTTATGAGCAAAAATTTTGAGAGGGTTCAAGATTAGTTTAATATAAATTGAGTAAAAAGAATTATATATATATTTTTTGGAGTGCACATGGTGTTGCCGGTCACCACTCAAGACAGAGGATGTCTGCTTCTGTGTGATTGTGTGCATCGTAACAAACATGCTCTCACAGCCGTAGCCTCCGTTTTGGGCAAGGGTCAAATGTTTTTTTATGGATTAAAATAAATATTAATTTCGCTTAAACCCCCTTATTTTAAACAATAGAAATTAAACTTTAGATGTGAAATTATTATCATATATAATTTTAAAAAGTCACTTAAATGTCAGATGTAATTTATTTTAAATAGTTTATTGAAAAAACATTTACTTAATATATTATCTATTGAAATTGTGAATTTTATTGTCATATTGTGAACAATTTCAATATTGACAAAGAAATAACATATTGATCAATTTCTATAGGCTATGTCTAGAAAACCTAGCTGAAAGTTGAAAAGTTATAAACTAGGAGCGGAAGACTGAAGAGCTGTTAAGCTCACTGTTATGCTTCAAATTAATAATTTTTTAAAAAATAAAAAATAGACGGTCGCCTAGGCGTCTAAAGAGCGCCTAGCGATTTTTTCAACCATGTTTTTTTTTTTTTTGAAAAATAGGTCATAGCCATATATTAATGAATGTACGTACAAATAGAGTCAGGCGGGACTGAATCCCAATACATAGAGTGTTCCTTATCAAACGCTAATGTCGCTAGAGTATGTGCATGTAAATTAACTGTTCTCGAAATATAATGTAAAAGCTAAGGCAATGAGTAAACATAGTCATGGCGGTCCTACATTGGTCCACAATGACCCCAACGTAGGATAAGATGGCCGTTGTATTTGAGTGTATGATATTCCGTAACTCTGAGCAGTCTGTAAGATCCACAGTCAATATATTCTGTTCCTTTAGCCAAGATAAGTGCTTCCTTGCAAGCTAGTGCCTCAGCCATAAGAGGTGAGAAACATCCTGGAAGTTTACCGTTTGTATCTGTAACAAATGATCCGTCGTGCGATAGAAGAACCGCTCCATACGTCGCCTCTCCGGTTGCTGCTCTGTAGTCCGCGTCCACATAGCATCTCAGCTGGCCGTCCAGAATCACCGTCGATGGCACGAACTGAGGAGCTCGACGGTGTACGTCTGCATGCTCACCGCTGCACGTCTCCATGTACGTTCGGGTCTCGGGAGCCCACCACTCCACACCGCTTCGTTTCGGGCTCTCCATATTTGATAAAGAACTGCTTCCATAAGTCACTCTGTTCCTTTGTCAAAATATTCATCGCACCCGTGAGCCAAGCTGGGAAGAATTTGGTGACAATATTTGTGATGGGTAATTGTGAAACATTCCAAACTATTTTAGAATAATCACATAATATTAGAGAATGCATAATGTCTTCATGAGTTATCCCACACATTGGGCATGTAGGATCCACTTCCATCCTCTTTAAAAGTGAGTTGTTTGTGGTAGGGAGAATATCACATAAAGCTCTCCATATAAACGTTCTTCACTTTGGGGGAACTTTTAACTTCCATAGTGTAGCCCATTTATCAAGGCACGGGGTATGCTCATAATCATTGCATATAGCCATTCTTCACATTATACATCCCTTTTGGGTCACTCATCCAATACCATGAATTCTCATAGGGCTAACATGTATTACTGAAATACGAATCACGTCTTCAGAATTAAACAAATCTGCCAATATATAGGGATCGCACGTATTAGTCTCGTGATCAATCAATCTTGCCACTAGGGCTCCTCGTAACTCCTCAGGCATAATTGTCTGGACTAGTGGACTGGGGTTATCTGATAGCCAGGAATGTCCCCAGACTAGAGTTGTACGTTGTGCTATTACCAATTCTCTGACGCACTCCTGAACAAATAAGATCATGTGCAGCCATAATAAGACCATGTTTTAATTTTTTTTATACAATTATTGAAAGAAATTAAAGTGTGAATTAATAGGTGCACGAAAAAAAAAGTATACACTAACCTAATAGAATTGAAAATTATTCGTAATTATTTTCTAATTAATTAAAGAAGATCAGAGTAATTAACAATTAACAATTAGTATGTCTGTTAATGAATAAATGATGATGATACCAATATCCACATTGTAAGCAGGCATTGCTGAATTAGTCAGATAAGCATTAATTAAGTCCCAATTATTATGGCTATACGTACGGTTTGAGAGATCCCAGGGTTATACTTATATATATCCAGATTTTAAATTAGAATTATCTTTAAAATATTTCTTTTTATCCTTAAATTATCTTTAAAATATTTCTGTTCATAGAGTCAACTGCTCTAAATTTCTAACTAAACAAAAAACACTATAAAAAGATACACAAGTCGTCACTTGTATGTATATAGATCCAAATTAAACCACCACAGATTCTCTACAAATCTTGGGAGCAGAAAAGTAAGTAGCCATGCCTGCCTCTGTGATGGCCGTCGAGAAGGGTTCCGGTGATTTTCCGGCAAAACTCACCGGACAAGTATTCCTTTGCTGCATCGTTGCTGCCTTTGGTGGTTTCATGTTTGGCTACGACATTGGTATTTCAGGTGCTTTTTCTTTCATTTCTTATTATTTACTCCCCCGCTTTTGCAATTGGTACATTTGATTATTATGAGTAGATATTAAGGGCGAATCTAGAGAGACAAACGTTATTACAAGAAAGTAAATCAGTCTAAATTTCTAAATTGCTCATAGATTGGCTCGGCTCAGAGGGTTGAGATTTGAACGATTTAAACTCGTGGCCTCAGCTCATTTTTGTTTTGTTGTTATTGGTAGGTGGAGTGACATCCATAGATGATTTCTTGAAGAAGTTTTTTCCGACAGTTTACGTAAAGAAACACAAGGTTAAGGAGGACAACTATTGCAAGTTCGATAATGAATACTTGCAGCTCTTCACCTCTTCTTTGTACCTCGCCGCCATGATCTGCAGCTTCATAGCGTCAAAATGCTGCCGCAGTTTCGGCCGGAAACCGACCATGCAATTCGCCTCCCTCTTCTTCCTCACCGGCGCTGTCCTCAACGCCGCCGCCATGAATCTTGGTATGCTCATTGCTGGCCGCATTTTTCTCGGCGCCGGCGTTGGCTTTGGCAACCAGGTAATATACTATTTAATCTGTAGTAATTGTAAGTTGTTATGAAATAGAAGAAAAAAAAGCTAAAAAACATTTTTAATCGCTCAATTGCTTTTTACTAACAGTTTTAGTCCCTACTTTTCCTCTTAAGCAACAAATAAAACTATTAAATTCTATTAAAATGTTACTTAATATAGTATTTTAAAAATTTATTATATTTATTCTTTATAACCTTTTCATTTTTGATATTCCATCAAACAATAGAGAATAAACAATTTTCTTCCATGATTTTTCCTCTTCAATTTTGAATTTTTTGATACACTATCCCTATTTTATAAATGAAATATCAAGAGAAGAAACATTAAGAAGTACTAAAATACTCATATACTAGGTAAATTTGAATAGAGTTTAATAGTTTTAGTTTGTTGTTCTAGGGGTTAAAATTGTAGGTTTTGACGGATTAAAAATATTTTTTTCTTATCAATCAATTTTGACTTATTTGACCAATAATAATTGTTTGACTTTGATAAAAAAATCAATTTTAAAATACTAAAATTCAAAAAACTGTTCAAATCAAGTTTTCAATTAACTTTTTGAGAAAAGGAGTTATACCAAACTGCTATACTATCAGATAACAGCTAATTTACCAAAAACCTTCTTATAATCAACTAATGTTATTAACTTCTAATAACCTAATTAGCTAACATTTATCAGCTAACAATTATTTACTAAATAGGAGCAATGTGAATTATTGACTTATATTTATATTGAGAATACATATAATAAAACTCGGAATTGAAAATCTAATATCATACATGCAGGCGGTGCCATTGTTCATATCAGAGATTGCTCCACCAAAGTACAGAGGAGCCCTCAACTGTAGCTTTCAGCTGCTAATCACCTTTGGCATTTTGGTTGCGAATCTGATCAACTATGGAGCCTCGAGGTTGGCCGGATACGGGTGGAGGGTTTCGCTGGGCGGAGCCGCCGTGCCGGCCCTGTTCCTTGGCTTCGGCTCTCTCCTCATCCAGGAGACTCCGACGAGCCTGATCGAGCGCGGCAAGAAAGAGGAAGGATTAGCCGCTCTGAAGAAGATCCGCGGCGTGGAAAACGTGGAGAGAGAGTACGACGAGATCGTCGCCGCAACGGAAATGGCGAACAAGATCAAACACCCTTTCAGAAACCTCATGAAACGGTCCAGTCGCCCCCAGCTCGTCTGCGGCACCATCCTCGCCCTTTTCCAGCAATTCACCGGCATGAACGTGATCATGTTCTACGCTCCCGTTTTATTCCAGACGGTAGGGTTCGGCGCGAACGCCGCGCTGTTATCCGCCGTGATCACC